ATTCTTAAATAACCACAATTACTACTTATAGAATGTGTATTACAGTTGGGCACTGCACAACTTCTAAAACTTTGGAATCAGACTGGACACTGCCATTCTTATTTCCTGTTCCACAATTATTTTCATGCAGTGTTTGCATTTTATCACAGAAACCCTCAAAACTCACAAAGATATGTCATCAAAAGGAATGTAGCACAATCTAATTTTGAAACCATGAACTCTCTCAAGCTAGTAGTTCACTAGGCAACCAAGAGATGTCAAGCATTGCTCTATCTCCCTTGAAAATTTAAAGTTCGCAGCAGCACCTCTGAGAGTTGGTGGCAATACCCTGGGGTGCCGTGGTGAAGTTTGGGAAACATGGCCACATGGTAAGGTATTATATAATTTTGTGGCTCGGACTCAGACCTGGGTTGGAAATCAGATTCTACCAATAACTATATAATCTTGGGGATTAAGCAGCTGAATCAATCTCTTAAACCCAGCTTCTATGCCTGCCAAAAAGGAATTCATAGCAGCAACCTCAGATAATAGTTGTAGCCCTAGCCGGTTTGGCTCAGTGGATAGAGCGTCGGCCTGTGGACGAATGGGTCCCAGGTTCGATTCTGGTCAATGCACATACCTTGGTTGCAGGCTCCTCCCCGGCCCAGGCCCTGGTAGGAGCTTGTGCAGGAGGCAACCAATAGATGTGTTTCTCTTACATCGATGTTTCTCTCTGTCTTTCCCTCTCTCTAAAAGTCAATGGAAAAATATCCTCGGGTGAGAATTAACAACAACAACAAAAAAAGTTGTAAGGAATAATGAGCTGCATGCACATAGTAAATGCTCAATAAATGGCAGCTATTATATATCATTAAAACTGAACAAGTGGTTTATTAAACCAAATTTAATAATTAACTCTGTGGGGATAAAGGTAACATTCTAAGCTGAAGCCACAATGTCAAATTAAAATGCACAAATTTTTAGAGGAAAAATCATAAAGTGCTTAAATAAGGGCAATACAGAGAACTATAGTATCCTCCAAAGGATGTCATAAATGTTGATACACCTATCACAATACCTAGGTAAAAAGTACTAAACTGGCAACTCAGAAGAAGATATATGTATGTTAAAAAGTGCCTTTTAGCCCTTGCTGGTTTGGCTCAGTGGACAGAGCATCCACCCGGGGACTGAAGGGTCTCAGGTTCGATTCAGGTAAGGCTGCATACCTCAGTTGCAGGCTCCGGGGCGAGTGCAGGAGGCAGCCAATCAATGTGTCTCTCTCTCTGTCTCGCCGCCCTTTCCCCTTCCATTCTCTCTAAAAGATCAATGGAAAAATATCCTCGAATGAGGATTACAAAAAAAAGTGCCTTTCAAGAGATAACCACACTAGGAAACTAGGACCCTTTAAACAGCATTAAGAACTGCGTTTTAAAAATACTTAAATTTATAAAGAGCAAAACTCATCTGACTATAACAGACTTTTTCATCAAGAGCATAATAGCTCAATATATCTGCTCAAACCACTTTCTCACATGCTAAAAATTTATCATTTTAATTCCAAATACACCTGTATGTCTTCTATCTCACAAACATCTGTAATAAAATTTATAATACAAGAATATCTGTAGGTGCATGGTTTATGAAAGGAGTTTTGAACGAAGAATTCTTTTTCTGTTTTTCATTTTTAACTTATTGAATGATTTTAGAGGAGGGAGAGAGAAAAAACATCAATTTGTTGTTCCACCCATTTGTTTGTTGATTCTTTTTTTAAAATATATTTTTATTGATTTCAGAGAAAGGGAAAGGGATAGAAACATCAATGATGAATCATCCATCAGCTGCCTTTTGCACGCCCCCTACTGGGGATAGAGCCTGAAACCTGAGCATGTGTCCTTGGCAGAAATCGAACCTGGGACCCTTCAGTCTGCAGGCAGATATGCTCTATTCACTGAGCCAAACTAGCTAGGGCCATTGGTTGATTCTTATATGTGCCCTGACAGGGGGTTGAACCCAGAACCTTGGTGTATCAGGAAGACATTCTAACTAACTGAGCTACCCAGCCGAAAGGATTTTTGAAACATTTCATTTGATCCTGAAATTATTCCAATTTACCGAAGAAACTGAGGTTCACAGAAATTAAGTAATTTGTACTACAACCCACATATTACACAGTTCAACACTAAAACCCATATCTTTTAATTCTTTCTAATACACAACTCCTTCCAGAAAGACTCAATTCAAATCTTGTTGGTTGGACCAGCATTGTTTCATCAACTATTTCAAGTAGGTTAACCATCACCAAAGGCCTGAAAATGACAATCTTTGCCGTGCACAGTAATGGCATTTCACCTGCAGAGACTTTTCATTTGCCAAGTATCCTGAATTGTGTAATATTAATAATTATTGTTAGGCCACCTTATGACAAGACATATTATAGTTGGAAATACAGTGGCTGAGCCCACTGGTATCATCTTTCAGCCCATATTATTTCCCATTTTTTACTTAGCTGGTGTCTCATGGTTCAATTCTAAATAGAAAGATAACATGAAATATTAAACTGGTTCTGATTATTTTTATCTTCTGTTATTAATATAAGCCAAATGCAGTTGCCAAGATACTTAAAAGGAATGGAGGCGCAAGCATGCTCGTATACTCCCCAAAATACAGTAACATCACAGAGGTCTATCCCTGCCTTTAAATTTGGTCAAAGTATATTCCAAAAACAATTTATCAGCAATCCCTTTCCCCAAATTCTCACATTTTCCCTCTGATAGATTACTATCATTTCCCAAGGTATCCTAAAAGCAAATTACTAAGGCATTCTAACTCAAAATAACCAATTCCTTAGAAATTAAATGTAAATACAACCTAATAATTAAATTACTATATTGGAGGACTTAAGTTTTAAAGAAATTCTATAGGAAGTCTTTATATAAAGTCTTAATGTAACTAGTCACCCTCCTATTTTATATTATATAAAAAATTAGCCTTTTATGTGCCAGAGAGTAGAGATGATTTCGGTAAGAAAGAAGAAATATAAGCCTGCACCGTAACTACTGTATTTATTTGGGTCCCTGGTAACATAACATCATTTTCTCTCTAGGTAATATTTTAAAGAACTTCACACTTGGGCCCTTCCTAAGAATGTAAATATATAGTTAACAGAAACTTCACTTCTATGGAGAATTGAAGATGGAAAAGAAACAGCTGTCTTGTACAATACCCAGTCCACTTTGGCCATTGAATACGGACCAAAAAAAAAAAGATTTGGAAAACGTTTCTTCTCCAGCCAAGGGCTGTGCCCAGATAAAGGCAATGATCAGAATACAACAAAAAAACCCCTTCTCTGAGGGAAGAAATGTGCCAGGAAAAAAAAAAAAAAAAGGCATGGATCGGAAATAAATAGGGAGTGAGTGTGCGCGCTCAGTGTGCGGGCTAGAGGCAGCGGGCGCAAACGCTGAGATGCTCCAGCGAAAAGACCCAGCAGCAGCAGCAGCAGCAGGAAGTTTCAATGGGGCCGGGCGGAGCATGCGCCCTGCGCCCGCGCGGTGGCCTTCTGTGGAAGGAGCACCACTTGCAAACACCAATAATAGACCAGCGGCACCGGAGAGAAACATGAGCAACAAGCACCTCTTCAACTGTTTCCCCTGCGTCGGAGCCCCTCCTCCAGCCTACATATTAACCACCCCACCCGGCAGATGGGAGGGCGACTTCTCCTTCCCCTAAGCCTGGCTGCCAAGATGAAGGGGGAAGGGACTGAAAAAGTGGGGAGATGCTTTTCTATGGGGGGGGGTGGGGAGGGATGGAGGGTGGTGTTGGGATGGAGAAGACGGAGAGAGAAAAACTATGGGGAGGAGAAATTAACCCTCTACCCTCCAAAGTGGAGGTGAGCCGACTTAGTCCCCCAAAGCGAGAATGGAGGAGGACCCCCCTCCCACGGGGGAGGAGCAAATCTGCCTCCTGGCAGGAAGGAGTTTGGGGGGTTAAATGGGCCCTCGGGGAGAAGCCAAGAGGGACGAGAGCCGACTCTCTCCGGGGAGTTCCCACTAGAGGCAGAGCTGAAGTGTCCGCCGGCCCCCGCCCACCCAGGTGGAGGGAAAGAAAGGGGGCGCCCCGAGAGGAGCCCAGCCTCTCCCGAGATGGTCAAGAGGAGGGTGGGAGGAGGGGAAGCAGAGCAAGGGAGAAGAGGAGGAGGAGGAGAAAAGCGCAAGGCTGGCCGGAACCTGCGCTCCCCTTCCCCCGCCACCGAGAGGGAGACGGGGTGGGGGGCCGGCCTCTGCCGCGG